CCTCTTCCACTCATCTGCGATCCGGGGGTGACAGGGATTTTTTCATTACACTGTGGAATTCTCTCCTAGCTGACATTAAAAATACAAAGTCTCTTGACCATTACTTAAAACATGTTTTGTTTTTTATTATATGTTGTCCTTTTTTTCCTTCTATATATTGTCTTGATTTGTTTAAGACCGGGATTCCCAAACTTTTTTATTCCGGGACCCACCTAGGCAAGTAATTCAATCTCAAAACCCACCATAATATTTTATTATGGAAAAATGGGTAAAAAAAATGTATCCATTCAAAGCAGTCAAAAATATATGGTGCGCGGCTTTTTGGATTTATGAGGCTCAAAGTGCTTTTTGTGGGATGCTGGCTGTAACTGTGATCATTTTTTGTTGAAAAAGATACTCTTTTTTTTTTTCAGAAGAGAATATGATCAACCTTTGATCAAGCCCTTTGATTATGATCAAGCCCTGTCACATCGCAGTAAATTCCACTGCTAGTGTATAGTCATAAGAAACTAAATAGCTTTTTGATCGACTACTACAAGCTGGGAAAACATCAGATAAATATGTCAATGCAATTAACATTATTGCTGAATAGACCTAATATTTACACATTTGCTTGAGGAAGGAATGATGGGGGTAGTTACATTACTATTACTATTTTCCATAACATCTATGCCCTTCCATAACATTAGGTGACGTTAAAACTTACAGATAGCACTATAGCTATTTATTGATTAGCAATCTGTCAACGTTGGGATGTAAAAAATATTGGACAACAAATAGCTTCAAATGATAGAATACATAGCAAACATAAGGAAAATATTGACAATAAAATAAAAGGTTTAACTTATTTAAATCAATGGCCTATCCAGAAATTAAATAAAGCTATAAAATCTATTTCACTTTTGATTGTATTTGCATATTGATTGAAGTTACTGTAGTTATTTAGTGAAGAGCAGCAAATGAATGTCTCATTGTGTTTTGTTTGATAACAGAGGTGTTAATGTAAGAATGCACAGATCTATAATGAAGCATTCGACTACTGTAGTAACTGTTTGTGCTCATTTAAGAGAAAATAAGAAGTGTTCAAAATAAAACACGCAGGACGGAGTAAAAAAAAAAAAAACGAAAAAATAAGCACTTTTCCGACGGTCCCTTACTGAGAGCTTTACTCTGCGCAAGCTCTACCGGCTAAACGCAGATTGCGAGAGCTCAAACGGAGCAGTGCTCATAATATTAAGTGAAAAAAAAAAAAAAGACAGCTATGAAACATAACCAGCTTTGTCTTTTTGTAGGAAACACACTTAAGATATTTTTAGAGTTAGAGGCTTTTAAGTTATTGCCGTTGATCGTACTGGTTTTGATTCACCGCAATGTATATAAAGCTGCAGCTATGTGACGTTGCGCGACCCACCAGTGATCACTGTGCGACCCACTAATGGGTCGCGACCCACAGTTTGAAAACCCCTGGTTTAAGACAGTAACTTTTGAAGGCGCTATATAAAATTATATTATTATTATTATTATTATAAAAAGGTTTAAGCCCATTTTAAAAACTTGCTACATACAAATGCAAATATATGAGGTTTCACAAAGTAATTTCAAGAGGAGCACATTATATGAGTGATTGCAGCTGGTCTCTCTTCTATAATGCTTAGTAAGCCAATCAGATTAGTCCAAACTTACTCTAAGTAGCCTGTCTAAAACTACTCCCTCATCTTCATCTTCCAAAATAACCCCCCATCCACCCCATCTCCAGCTTTTCTCTTTTATCAGGGGGAGCTCTCAAGAACAACCTGATCTTGTAGCCGCTTACATGCTCATTGACCAGGCAGGAGCCCTGGGCTCAATTATCTCCAAGCTCAAGGTTTTTTCCCGGGACAGCATGCCAAACCTTTTGAGATGGTTAAATTTAACCCTTACTCTCATTTCAGCTGGGTTTTGTCAGATTGGTGCGCTCATGAGCAGCTTTTTGGTCCAGATGGAACAAGACATGAACCAATGCAAGGCGACAACACAGTTGAGTTTTCTCAGCGCTAGTTGTTTGGTGTCAGCTTTGTGTGTCTTTTAAGAGACAGATGTCCACCATCCATTGTCTTACAAAAACTTATGAGAAAATCTGCACTACATACACTGTACATTTATATAGGCAGTGTAATGCAAACTGAACTTGATCCTAAAATATCAGTCATATAACCCCAATAATAATAGCAGTATAGTCATAAATTGAAGTGTCCATTATTGTGATAGCACATCTTGGCACTGTTCATTTAAATGCACAATATGACTACAACTGACAGAAACGTCCTTTCTTCAAACGCCCTCTGCTCCTTGATTCCTGATAGAGAGAGAGAGAGATCACCGTCTTATCATCTGACAGGATGCTTAAGGATAAAGGATTGATCACGGGCTCTCTGGGGTCCATTGGAGGAACTGAGGAACACTTTCACATCTTCATGAACCGCTCGCTGACCTCCACAACCCATCACATGAGCTCCAGCTCATCACATACTCACTGCAGCCGCACAAAGACAATCATTCAGGCCAATTAGGCTGAAAATGAAAAGATAAAAAAAAAGAAAAAAGGGGAAAAAAAATAATGCTGCGAGCAGATCAACCCATGACCCCATTCAGTGGAGGCTTCACAGTTTTCTTCGGAAAATGGATGTGGCAGAGCATAACTTTTGCCCACACAGACTCTCTGTTTGTTCTTCAGTGATGATTGTTGGTGCTTTGAACAAATAATGGGCCCGTTGTACCACAGTTTGCCAAAATGTGGTTAAACACGGACCCTCGGGGTACGTTTGAAGACCCCAAGAGCTCGAATGAAGCTATGTTTGTTAAACACATGGTGATGATAAGTGGCTGTTATTGATTTTAAACACTTCTTTCAAGCTCAAATTCCCAACGCAACCACAAAACGTCTGTGTTAATTTGATTATCGGTTGATTTTGTCTAGACTGTTGTTTATTTTGGTCATGAAAGTCTTTGATTAAAATGTTCAGTACAGGGCTTTCATTGAAAAGCAGAGCTGGGAGACATTGGTGAAAAAAAATATCTGAAGATTTAATTAATGATATTTGATAAACACTAGCAGTCAGAGGTTTAGACAAAACCGACCAAATTGCCAGTGGCAGCAATGGACCCACATCCTTTGAAATATCTTTTTTATGTCAAACAGAACAAGTTGAAGGCAGCACATAATGACAGAATTATTATTTGTTTAGTAGAGTATCCTAATGTAATCCAATGAGCATTGATATTCATGTACATTTACTAAAATTTGTACACACACTGAAACACAATTCTGATGGTATATTAACAGCAAGTAAACATACAATGTTGACAACATCATTCATTTTTCTTCAGCCTAGTCTTTATTTCAGAGGTCACTACAGTGGAATGAACCACCAACTATTCCAGCATACTGTATGTTTTTACGCAGTGGATGCCCTTTCAGCACAATCCAGTTCTGGGAAACACCCATAAACACTAATTCTCACACACTCATTCACTGTGGCCAATTTGGTTTATTCAATTCACCTATACCACATGTCTTTGACTGTGGGGGAAACCGAAGCACCCACACAAACACAGGGAGAACATGCAAACTTCACACAGTGCTAACCACTTAGCCACCATGCCACCCATACTGACAAGCATTCATTCATTTCTTTTTGGCTTAGTCCCTTTATTAATCTGAGGTTGCCACAGCCGAATGAACCGTCAACTTATCCAGCACGTTTTATGCAGCGGAAGCCCTTCCAGCCGCAACCTATCACTGGTAAAACTGACAAACATCTAAAATGTAAATTACTTATTATCATTTGTTTATTATATGAAGATTTATTCATGAAATTACCATTTTGTTCTTATATATCTACATCTACGGTGTGGTAAGAATTATTAGCCCTCCTGTTGAATTTTCTTTTGTTTATATTTTTCACCAATTTCTTTTAAACGGAGAGAAGATATAAAACAATCAAGACTTTCTCTACAAAAAAAAAATATAGAAAATACAGTGAAAATTTCACAGGAGGCTATTAATTTTGACTTCAACTTTCTGTATGTGTATGTGTGCATATATACAGTATATTAGCCCTTTAATGAATTTATAATTTTTTTTTCTCAAAAATTCACAATATTTCCTAATTGGGATTCTCCAATCAGGAATTTTGCAGCCAATACAGAGTACAGATTCCTTGCCACGGTGATCGGCCGATACAGAGTCTGATTCTGACACTTCAAGCTTTATAATGCATAAAGCACATTTTCCGGACAGCTCCGGACAGCCTCACAGCAGCTCGATTGGTAGATGACATAGACAGGGATGTGCACTCGAGATATCTTTACTGTGCTATTCATCTAACCTAACAAATGTAAAGCTTTGAACATCACTGTGCCTCTCACAATCTGTTTTCCTGCTAATTCACTCTCATCTCCATGATTTTCAGAGTATTTTATGTTATTTAAAACACTTGTGATCGGTTCATGAGATCGGCCAGATTGGCAAGTATCGAACGAGTCATAAAATGTGATTATTGGCTGATAGTAATCTCCAGGCGATCGATCGAATCATCCCCATTTCCTATATTTTTTCTTCCAGGGAAAGTTTTTTTTTTTTTTGTTTGACAAAAAAATTTTAACTAAATAAAGCCCCTTTAAGGAATATATATATATATATATATTTATATATATATATATATATATATATATATATATATATATATATATATATATATATATATATATATATATATATATATATATATATATATTTTTTTTTTTTAATTGGCTACAGAACAAACCACTGTTATCCAGTAACTTACCAAATTAACTGTGTGTGTGTGTTTGTGTATAGGGATAATGATATACATTTAATGCTGATAGGCTTAAAATTCCTTAGATACAGATTATGCCAACATACAGTTTTTTAGATTGAATATGTAGCGTGATCCAATAAACAATTGTCTATCAAGAGAATAGGCCTAAGAGTTGCTTACCTCCTCTGGTTCCTGTTTAGATAACACTTTGATGGAGCCTTTGGATGTAAGTGTCTGTATAAGAAACAATAATAAGAACTTTTAATACATATAATAAAAAAAAGACTTTACTTGTCATGCATAGGACTGGACAATATAACAAATTTCATATCATAATATAAGTCGTCTCATATCCAGATGATGATTAACAGTTGAAGTCAGAAATATTAGCCCCCCTGAATAATTAGCTGTATATTTTCCCCAAGTTCTTTTTAATGAAAAGAAGATTTTTTTTTCAACACATTTCTAAACGTAATAGTTTTAATAAGTAATTTCTATTAACTGATTTATTTTATCTTTGCCTTGATGACAGTATATAATATTTTACTACATTTCTTCAAGACACTAGTATTAAGCTTAAAGTGTCATTTAAAGGTTTAAACTAGTTTAATTAGGCAAGTTGGAGCACTTAGGCTAATCATTGTATAATGATGGTTTGTTTTGCATTCAATTGAAAAAAATATTGCTTAAGTGGGCTAATAATATTGACTCTAATCGGAAATACTGTGAAACAATCCTTGCTCTGTTAAACATTACTTGAGAAATATTTGAAAAAGAAATACACAGGAGAGTTAATAATTCTGATTTCAACTGTACATCACAATACAGTACTTTTATATATATAATAAGTTGAGTTGGTGTGTCCTGGCCATAAGAGACTGAGATCCACCATATATTGCTTTATCAAAACCTATGAGAAAAACTGTTCTACACATACTGCATATTTACATAGGCAGGAGAACGAAAATTGTACTTGATCCAAAAATATCAATAAAATATACCAATAATAATAGTGGAGGTAGTAAATTGAAGTGCTCATTATAGTAATAGCACATCTTGGCACTGTTTATTTAAATGCACAATATGACTACAAATGACAGAAACATCCATGTGGTCTATATATATTAAGGTAATATAATATATAATTATTAGTAAAATATATACATGTGTATGTAATGTATGTAGGTATATAATGTATGTGTGTGCACACACACACACACACACACACACACACACACACACACAACAGTTCTGTCTGGCGCATGCACGCACACACACACACACACACACACACACACACACACACACACACACACACACACACACACACACACACACACACACACACACAAACATATATATACATATATATATATATATATATATATATATATATATATATATTACTAATATTTATTTATTATATTACCTTAATATGTTCTATATAGAGCACATGAAAAGACCTATTTCTTTTATTTTCTTTACTTTGTTTATAATTTTAATGTACATACTGAACAATGTACCCATTCAAATGTGTTTACTTTTCTTACTTTATTTAGACCCTTTAGACATTTGTTTGAATATGAAAGTAGAAATTAAAAAATAAATATTGCTGAAATATGAAACACAGCCTTAACATATACCATCGTTAAATAAAATGCTAAATGTACACACTATACTTTCAAGCTTGCAACATTCTTACCATGCTGTTATTTAGATTTCTTGTGGTGAATTTTTGTGGTGATGTGTAAAACTGTGCTCATCCAAAACGATTAAAAAATATTATCGTAAACAAAAAAAGTATTTCACAAATAAAATACAAGCAAATGATAGAGCATAAAATGAATCGGTATACTTTTTATTTTGCCCATATGAAATATTGTTTATACTTTAGTCAAGACTGTAGAAATACCCAGTAACTCTGAGGTTATAACTTTCCATAGTAAAGTCATCAAAACTCCCTCCCCAGACAAATAGACTCTCAAGGTAGACAACAATAAAGGCATTAATGAATGTGAATTCACCTCTTTGTCTGACTCAGGAAGCAGAGATACAAAGTTATCCGGGAAAACTCCCTGTTTGCCGTTGACCTCTCCTCTCCACCAGCCTGGCTCTCCTGTGTCCTACAAAAAAAAAAAAAAAAAAAAAACATCAACCACAGAAATGACTTATTTCATACAGTACTACAACAATAACACATCTCGAAGGTATAAACATTCATCATCATGAATGGGAAACACATAAATATATCCTTTGCCACTAGATGGTGGTCATGTATAAAACATTGTACAGCATATTTCTGCTTTGTCAAGCACTATGTGACTGTGAAAAGAGTTTCCTCATGTCTTAACTTAATGAAACAAACACATACAGTACGTAGCTGAAGACAGAACACAAGGCCTGAAAAATACAAAATACTACAAAAAAAACCTTCATTGACCAGCAGAAATTGCATTACAGGTCATACGGTTAATATGACCATTTTCATCTATGGGTGAACCTTTTTTTTTAACCAACTATCAAGCATCAATATTCCACATTATGACAGTGTACAATATGTAATTACTGTACAATTGAATCTGGCATCATAACTTTCATAGCTTTCAGAGATCTAACAAAACAGAACAATCCTGTTTGTGGCAGGGAGCCTTTTCACACACCAGACTGACCTGAAGAGCATGATATAAAGTCTACAGTGATCTTTAAAAGAAAGACATCAGAGTATTTGGTGCCCTCCTGCCCAAACTTGTTTATAAGATGCTTATAAACTTGTTTTCTGGGACAAAACTGCATTTTTGAGAGAAAAAGGAAATTGAGTTGCGTTTTATTAAAAAAGGAAGAAAAAATGGAAAATAGACTAACAACGGTAGCCATAAAAATAAATCTTTCATTCATTCATTTTCTTTTCTGCTTAGTCCCTTTATTAATCCGGGGTCGCCACAGCGGAATAAACCGCCAACTTATCCAGCACATTTTTTTACACAGCGGACGCCCTTCAAGCCGCAACCCATGTCTAGGAAACATCCACACACACTCATACACTATGGGCAATTTAGCCTACCCAATTCACCTGTACCGCATGTCTTTGGACTGTGGGGAAAACCGGAGCAAAAATAAAACTTTAAATGTCATAAATAAAATATGTGTTTTGCCCCACTCACAAAACATGCTTAGATTGATTGATGTTAATTGTTAACATGGCGATAAAAACTTATTAACAAAATATGTTCTGGAATGGTATGTTCCATGTTTTTTGTGTATTTATTTTCCTCATCCTCCTCTTTCCACTTCTTACTACAATCTTAGGTTTCTTATTGGTTCAGTTAAGCGTCCATCATCGTTATGAGGTGTCCGTTCCACCAATCTCGGGACAAGCCACAAGTATTTAAAGCTCCGACAGATCAGCGTGTGGTGCACGCTGCCTCGGCGTACCTTTGTGCTCCACGCTTTTGTGTTTTTGGCATGCTTAGGCTATTTGGTGATTTCTTATCCAAGTTTTACAGTGGTAATTTGAGTTTACTTATTAAACTTTGTTGGCTTTACGTAAATGCTTTGATGGTTGTTGTGTGAGTCTTATGACATTCTTGTTAGGTTTGTTTTAAGTTGGCTTGTTTTTGTTAGATTAGTTTGTGTAATTTTGAATTTTGTAGTTTAATTAGTTTAGATCAGGTGTCATGTGCACTGAAGATATCAGGTTTCATTTTCATAATTTATTGTTGTCGCCTAGTTCAGACGTTAAACTTATGGATTGTTTTGTTAATTTTTTTATTTGGCTTACACTCATTGTTTTCGTTTAAAGAGAATATTGTAAATGTTTATTTCTTTTTTTCCATTATCATTGTTACATCTTTTGCTTAAACTGTTGAGTAAAAAGCTTAAATACAGAATGGGTTCCTGCCTCGTGCTTGACCTGTCGCCGAATTACATTAGTCTCACCTAAATGTTACAGCATTCCTTTTAAAAATCACAAACTTGTAACATGGAACTATACAGTATAAACAATATCAATTCATTTTAATGTGAATTGTCATTGTTCTTATGATTTTATCTTTCAACATGCACTACTTAAAGGTCATTATTATAAATGAATTGCTACACTATTCAACTACTGCTGCAGGTAGTTTTTTATTTATTATATTTTCTAGTTTTGGCACATTTATATTTTCCATTAAGGTTTTTAAGCAGCATGCTTGATGCACACAATTTGTGAAGTTATTTGTGAATTAACTTTTATATAGTTTGTGCTTTAGTTCAACCATTTACCGGTTAAAGAATTTCAGCTTAATCGCTAATTAAATTAGTCATGACTAGAGGTTTAACGATATATGTATTTGTGCCGAACCATCACAGTTCATGCTCTCCCATGACAAATACAGTCAGTCCAGATGTGCCAGTCTTTCTGGAGAACTGGAGTTAGACAGAAAAACCACAGAAGAGCAACAACTAAGAGGGCATTCACAAAGAATGTTTTTTGCATCTGAAAACACGAGATACAGCACTCAGAAATGGATCCACCATGTTGCCAATGTACATGCTTGCAATGCTTGTACCGCCACTAAGTTCTTCTGATAGGTCCACTACTGTTGAACTGACAGTAGTTTTATCTTCACACACCATCAAAACATTCCTTATATAAATCTGTACTTATGCTTGTGTGTGAGGTGTTGCAGATGAGAAATCATGCACATCCATCAGCCACGTTTACATAGAAAAACAATGGAAAAATTAATTTCTGTCTCATCTAGTGCATACTTGAGGACTTTTTCTATACACAGACACATAAGACTGAACAGCTGTTGCCCACCGCACCAATAATTTTGGATGGACATGGTTAGTATTTTCATTAAATACGATTTGAGTTAGGAAGCTTCCTCAATCTTATGCACAAATACTGCTTTTTCTGATGTTTAAGAAGAGGGTTGGACCTTTGAAACTTTAATAAGCAGTATCTTAATTATGTTTTTAATGTTCAGTTTAATGTTTATGTTTTGTTTTATTTTTCATTATGGTATTTATTTTGTTCTTTATCATAAGCTGTTCAGTTCTGTAGCTGATTGTTTAAAATATACAGAAAAAGCAAGCACCAGGGGTGTGTTATCATTCCAGTTGTACCGAACCGACCTCACAAAACCAAGGTACATACCAAACCGTGACTTCGGTGTATCGTTTACACCCCTAGTCACAGAACAATTCATTAATTAACTGTTGTGCCTAATGTTCTTAACTTAAATGCTCTGATTGTTCATTCAATAGTCTCATTGCCTGAAAAGAAATTTTGTAGTTTGTTTCATACCTTGCTCAGTATAAGGATGACTTCACCTTCCTTCAAATCCAGCTCATCTTGATTTGTTGCTTCATAGTGGAATGTGGCCTTGCAGTATTCTTTTACTACAGGTAGACAAGAAAAATAAAAATATTAAAGATTAAGTTTATTTATTCAACTTATGATATGGCAGGGCTCGAAATTGCGACCATTTTGGTCGCATTTGCGCCCGAAATTTCATCAATGCGACCTCATAATATATTTGGGAGCATTTCTGCGACTGAATATAATGGTTGTAGTCCGACCTGTTAAGATTTTTTCAAAAACGTGCTGAATCGGTCTTCCTTGCTGTTCATATTAGCTGTCAATCGTTTAAGTCTTTCCACTGTCAGATGACAGGGAGCTGTTGTTACTGCGGGAAATGCAAACACCTGAAGAGTAAAAATACACAGATTTGCAAACCCCACCTAAAGTTACAACGTAACGGCGCCAATGACAGCGATCATGACATGTGGTGAAGGTTGATCTGTCAGCCGAGATCACTCGAGTGTTTTCAGAGGCGGTGCCCGAATCTCGATGCATTGCATTCACTGCGCGTTCAGCGCAAATGTCCGCTATAAATGTTAAATCATACACTGTACACGTCATCGCCAAAGAGGCTCGCTTTAAACTTAAATTTTAAACGGAATCTGCGGCTCATAACAAAGAGTGGTATTGCGCCGGTGGCCATCGGGGGAATCCTGCTCTGCATGCTCATAAATTGATGCGGCTGACTTGTCTGCTTTCCACAAACACAGGAAAATGAAAATCAGCTCATAACGAGACTGAGCATTTACAATGACACAAACCGAAATCAAAACTTTTAAAGAGTGATAGAAGTGAGCCTTTTATTATGTTCTTTTGTCCATTATTCCTTGATTTATATTATTATTTAATTATTCACTAAAAGTAATTTGCACCTTTCAGTCTTGAATTGAATGATTTATTATAGTCTTTCGTTTGTTTTGTAGCCAAAACATTATTTATTAGATTGACATGCATATAAAAACAATATAAACATATAAATAATATAAATAATAAATATAAATAATATAAACATAAAAACAAAATAAACATTTCTTACTGCAATGCTTCATTTTAGTTTGATGCAAACCATATTTTTCATAAAGTAACAGACTTTTTTAGCAGAAAACTCACATTCAAGCACATTCAAGGCAGCATCATATTAAGAAATGTAATTTATTGTTAGTATTATTGTCATTTTTGTCATCAATAATATTTAATAATTATTAGACATGCATTCTGGATTTATTGCACGCAAATATCAATAAGTCAACACAGCATTAGTTAGATAGTTGTTTCTGGTTTTTGTTAGTCCTAATTTATGTTGTTTTCAAATACAATAAATCCTTTAAAATACAATTTGCAATGGTGCTCATTTATTTTTGGTGGGTGCTCCTAAATTTTTTCTGGTGCTCCTAAATATTTTAAGTTGGGAGCACCGGCGCTACCAAGTGAAAAATTTAATTTCGAGCCCTGTATGATGATAGAAATTGTGCTTTCCTCTTGAAATACAGAAATCATACATGCAACAATGCAATGGAAACCTTTTTGTGGAAACATTTTAGAAAGCGATCTATAAAAGGAGTGAAAATGATCTCCCGCATTTCCACTTCCTATGAAAATGCACTTTTCAGTTCTTTATCATTATAGTTCATTATATTTTAGTGCATTGCAAAACTAACAGATACTTCTGCTAATCTATAAAACAAATGTCAATGTCACAACCACTGCAGTTGGTATTAGCCATACATTTACATACTGTAAATATCCTATTATTTATTTGATTAACATATGCATCCATGTCACAGCCTTTCCACAAACTCACCTTTAGCTTTGCTCTCTGCCTCTTTTTCTCCTTTAGGGTGTTCCGGAGTGCTCAAAGGGGTGGGTTTTGTGGCAGATGGTAATGGAGGAATTGGCTAAAATGAAGCAGAAGCACAAATGGATTTACTGACACGGCAGCCACAAACACATGCAGTTGCACGCTGAAAGATACTGTCTCTGAGACATATCAGCCAAGCCTGGGTGGAATGAATGCTGGGTAAACAACAACCACTGTTATAATTGGAAGAGCAAGCCAAATGCAGTATAACTCAATGCGAAGTGAGAAACCTACATGTATTTAGTCAATTCTTTGACCCTGAAATCACATGATGACAAACGATTTCTGAGCTTTTGATAAGAGAGAGACAAAGTGGAGGATTAAACTAATCTGAATGAAATAATGGGGTGCAAAATGTGACAAAAGAGGAGAGAGTAAGAACCGGTTAATTGTATAAACACAAACAATAAAGAATGAAACTGAGGTTGCAAAGCGAAACAAACAAAAAAGTATGAAGCTTCTACAAATATACCTGCATACGTAGTTTATATATAGTAATATAAACTATAATATAGTAATATAGCTATACATACTAGGCCTGCTGTAATAGTCTGTGTAATATGAAACCGATAAAAAAACAGTAAATCCTCTGTGATTTCCTCCACATATAGAAATTGTATTATTTGGTTTTGCATTAAAAAAATTTTAATTGTATTTACCATTTCCACCTTCATTTTACCGGTCAGTATCCTCAGCAGTAAATAAATGGAGAAGTTTTAAACAAATGATACTGTAAGGAAAGTAATTAAATGCTATTTTTAAATAAAAAAGTTTTATTTATTATATAGATTTATATAGATTGGGATTGTTGGTAGTTGTAATAAGTGTTAATGGCCAGATTGGGTAGCTGTACATGAACAAAGTAAAATCAGTTAAAATAAAGATTTAGGACTGACAAGTGACTATTTAGGGGTGAGGCAGTGGAGCAGTAGGTAGTGCTGTCGCCTCACAGGAAGAAGGTCACTGGGTCGCTGGCTCGATCCTCGGCTCAGTTGGCATTTCTGTGTGGAGTTTGCATGTTCTCCCTCCCGTGGGTTTTCTCTGGGTGCTCTGGTTTCCCCCACAGTCCAAAGACATGCGGTACAGGTGAATTTGGTAGGCTAAATTGTCTGTAGTGTATGAGTGTGTGTGTGGATGTTTCCCAGAGATGGTTTGCAGCTAGAAGGGCATCCGCTGTGTAAAAACTTGCTGGATAAGTTGGCGGTTCATTCCGCTGTGGCCACCCCAGATTAATAAAGGGACTAAGCCGACAAGAAAATGAATGAATGAAAGTTTTATTTTTATGGCTACCGTTGTTAGTCTATTTTCCGTTTTTTCTTCCTTTTTTTAATAAAACACGAGTGCAACTCAATTTCCTTTTTCTCTCAACCATGCAGTTTTGTCCCAGAAAGCACGTTTTTAAGCAACTTAAATGAATGAATGAATGAACTCAATATTTAAAAAAAATAATAAAAATAAAAATATTTTTTAAGGCCTAAAATTTAGCTTTTGAGATTTAAGACATTTTAAGACTTTTTAAGACCATGTAGGTCGAAACATTGTGATAGTAAAAAGATTTTGAGAGCTAAAGTGGCAGTGTGCAGATTTTCGTTTGATCTTTTGCTACTGTGTATATTTTTGATCGAGTACCTGTCTTTGAGATTCTTAGATGTGCGCACATTTGCTTCAAGACTTAGGGCCCTCTGACACCCTGATTTATTATTATTATTATTATTAATTTTATTTAATCATTAAATATTTAAACATTTGTGAAATTATGTTGTCTGCAACTATCTCGTTGTGATACATTTGTGCTGCATCTTAAAGTAAAAAGAAACCCTATTCTTGCTGCCTGTGTTTTAAATATTTATTAAAAATGAAAATGAAATCACTCACTCTGCACTTGACTGAATAGCTTTTTAGGCTACTGTAGTTTATTAACAATTAATCTAAATATAAATTGTATACAGTGAAGACACAGTACCCAAAATTATATTTGATTACATTTTCTGAGTTTAAAAACTACTGTTAGATAGAAAAAAAGCCTGAAAACTCTGTTTATTTTAGTTGTATCTATGCTATATTGTATTTACTTTGTATTTTCTTTTGCTTGTTTTTATTTTTACCATATTATATACCGAACCATACCAATACTGTGAACCTAAAACAAAATTGTAAGAATTCTGTATCATTGCACCCCGAATACAAAAAATATTGCATATAGTAATAAACCTGTACATACATTTGTCAATTTGTATATTTTTATTCTCTATTTACTTGCTTTTTTTTAAATTCACTTATTATCTGGAGTTTTTAAATGTCTGGAAATGTCTGTATTGAAAGCAAATTCCCTGTATGTCTAAACATGCCTGCCAATAAAGGCTTACTGATTCTGCTATAAATGAACAATGCACATGATTTTACTTGTAAAAACTAAGATGTGCATGTCTGCAGATCTAACAAAAGCACAGAAATTGATATTTTGTTCTCATTTTGATCTGGGAGAGCACAAACAATAATAACGTGAATGCCAAAATGCTTTAAGAAACACCTCCCTAAGTAACGATGCCCAAAAATAGACATATTGCCTAAAAAGGAAGGTCTTCTCATGAGACCTTTTGTCAGCCTATATGGTGATGTCTTGAGCAATCACTGGCAAAACTTGTAGAGCAGTTAGACATGTAATTACCCTTCAACGCTCCGCTGCTTGTGGCTATGGGAATAGGCAGTGCTGATTTTCTAACATGCCAAGACAATGATTACATTTTAAAAGGAAATAGTATGTGCTAAATTGTTTTGCAGTGCAGTCATTCGTCATCAAGATAGGGATATCAAGCACATATAATTACAGATTCTCGTTTCTTTAAGCCAGGATTAACTTAAATACATTTGGATTGGTATATGTTTAGTGAACATGCGTATGCTTCCCACATTGCTCACAGCAGTGTCTATATTTGCTTTGCAGTGTAAATTTGTGCTGCACGCTTTCCTCTCAATAACAAAAAGAAAACACAAAATGTTACACGTTTCAAGAACAGTTTTTATCTAAACATAACAATAATGAACTGAAAATACATTCTTGATATGTAAAAAGAACATTGGGATACAGGAATTGAGCTTTTTTAATGCACTTAGCATGATGCTAATTTTTTTTCTTGTGTAATATGGTTTTTATATATGTATTCCTTATTAATTGTCAAACTAATAAAGAGCTGGATACATTGGTCACTTACGACTTCTTTGGAAGTATGTGCAATGCCAATAAAACATTCAATTGATCAAATTAGCAAAGCAGAGAAAGCAGTAGTGGCTATTGTCTTAATAATAATTATAATTAATTTACTTACTAATTTACTTACTAATAACTCTAAGAAAAACTCAAAATTTAAGAAAAAATAAGAAAAAAAATCATTTAAGTTTTTATAACAAGGCTGTTTTTAGGCTTCGATAGAAAAAGATTAAAAATCAATTACGAATTTTATTCAATTGGGGCTGCAAGTATTAATTTGAATCTAATTGTGAGGTGCCAAAATATCCACACCCTTAAAAGCAGTGCTAGCAACAAAAAAAGTACCTTGGTTTTGCAATTTGATTGGCTAATTAGCAGTTAGAACAAAGCTGTTCAAAAAGTTCCCTTGTGCCAGCTGTTCCAGATTTCACATTCTGCATACTATGCTCTGTACTAAGATAGATACGGGTGCAGCAGTGTACAGGAAAGAAAAAGCTAATAAAAGCATTGTCAGGTGCAAAACAACTTACTTTTTCTGTTTTTTCCATATTTTCAGATGGTCCTTTTAGGGAGGTTCTGAGTTTTACAGAGCCCTCTCGGAATATGTCACCAAAGCCGATGCCCTTGATCTTCTTTGGCTGAGCCATGACCCCATTGCCTGGATGAGGGGACGTGGGGCTAGACGTGCCATCTCTTGTATCTGTTAACCCACACACATACCTCTTTTTATGAGTATGCCACTTCAAGCATTTCCATATTGATGTAATATTTTATTTGCAAACATTATCAACAACTGGTCTTAAAATTTTAGATCTTAAAATTTTCATGTGCCCAGACCATTCCGCAATGATGAGAATACATAAGAGGTATTAATACCCGCTTTCATTAAACAAACAAACAAACAAACAAACAAACAAACAAACAAACAAATAAATAAATAAAAGGACATAAAATAGGTCAAAGTTTAAACATCCTGTAAGTTTGATAACTCAAAAACTCTCTTGTTAGTCTAAAAACAGCTTGTATTGAACACAATATGCCACAACCACTTGTTGTAAATTGTAACACTATTATGTAACACTGTGACTAAACTCCACCTCCACAGAAGATTAACACACACTTCTAAATAACTGCCTGTTTTGCCCCGCTCACCAATTTGTGCAAGCAGCAAGTAAATAATGGGAGGCAAACACAGACCAACCAATAATGTCAAGACAATTCTTTGATTGTGTCATTTCATGTCAGACAGACCATGTCAATGACAAATTTCTCCTTTGTTGACTTTATTTAACACTGATACTTTTACAAAAAAAAAAGACGCTATTCCATGCTGGATTTGAAAATGACTGAAACTAAAAGACGATGATGATGTGCTGAATATATACAAAGTCAATTGTAATTGTTATTATTACTTGGTCACTATTGATTTGCCTGTTATTAGAGATCTTCTGAAATGTACTAATGTGTATTTATGCATTCGTGACTCAATTCACAGCAGCGTCCATCTATGAATGATGTAGGCAGTCAAATATGTACAATCATACCAGCAGGCCTTTACTTCAGAGTCTACAGTCCACCAGGCCTAATCAAACAAACTGTTCTGATAAAGATGTCAAAATATCAGAGAAAAGAGATTAAATTATGTTTTTTTTCCTCATGTACAAATCTAGATAACATTATTAAGCACCTCAGAGAATAGCAAAAAATAAATAAATAAATAAAAATTAACCCTTTAAAAAAAAATCATTCTAAAACTAAAACTGTTGCCATAACCCCCCAAAAATGTAAAGTAAAAAATAAACCAACAATGGATTTGTCCATATTTGATCCAACGTTAGTTTACAACAACCCACCATTTTCAGAGTCTATAAAGCTGTGTTTACACTAACCACTCACAGCGCCAAAGTGACAAGCGCCATTCATTTGAACGAAGAGTGAGCGACTGTTTATGAGAGGTCAGACAAGGTGGGCGTCTCGAAAGACGGAATAAAGTTAAGATCCTTCAACTTTATGCAAATGAAGAGAAAGAGCTGCAGCCAATATGAGGACCAGTAGAACTCGCGTGATCCTCTCTCAGATAGAGAGATAAATAGCCGCTTAGAGAACACATTTTTTCTTGATCATCCTTGTAATTAGGCATTTTATGTACTGATTCCATTTATATTAAGTGTATTATTTTCTCTGAACAATGTTTACTTTCAGCTGCATGTAAAGTCATTTGCTCTCTGTGAATATTAGCATAAACCTTACCCAAGCAACCCCAAGGTGGAAATGCCCACTAGCACTAACTTCATTTGCCAACCAGAGTGACAGGCAGCTACAAAGTCGCTGCTAGTGTGAATGAGGCATAAGGATGCTCTTTTAAATGTTCAATTGATCAAGACTAAACAAAACTAAAATGATAAATCATCAGTCTGATGCTCAAACAGAAGTTGGAACAGAGTAAAAGAGTCTTTTTTTTCTATTATTACGATTTTGCACACTTATTAAAAAACCTCAGTCTTAAAACAATTAGTGTCTTTTTATTTAGAAATACAATTTGCATTATACATTTATCACTGGTTTAATGACTTAAACTAAAACTTCTGCTGACTGTCATGACTAGTTCTAACACCACAAAAATAAAGCACCCACACACACACACACATACACACACACCCTTAAACATACTTTAAAATACAAAAGGTTTCTGTTGAGTGTTTTCTTGTAAGAACATGCCCCTGAGAATGCATTACAGGATTACCTTGCTCTTCAGTAACGTCACTGTTCTCTGCGTCTTCAGTTGAATCGATTTCTTTGACAAAGTTGGAAGGAAAAAGTCCAGACTTCCCATTCATACTTCCGCTCCACCAGCCCTCCTCAACCTAAAAAAACACTCAGAGTCAGCACTAATGTAGGAACTGACCAGTCACATGCTCATTTACAAAGATACAGGCTCTCAACTGGTTTCACTTCAGGAACCAGATTTAAAAGTGAATCAAAATAATAGAAAAATTTCACATGCACAAACTGCTCCACAAAAAAATGATGAAAATGATTTTACATTATTATACAAAGGCCCAAAATGAAAAAATTATAACATCAAGTAGGGCTGGGCGAGATGGTAATTATTTTAACTAAGTTAATGCTTCCAGATTTAAAAGAGTACCTCAACAACAACTGAAGCCACAAAAATTGGAGGGTCCAATAAATGGCATAACATATTTTCAGATGTAAAATTTTTGGTGCTTAAAAATTCAGTACATCTTTGATATCATAACACGTTTAGATTCCCATTGTTGCACATTTCTGCAGTGTGACTAGCTCTTAGATCAGTATAGAGTAAAAAAAAAGTCCAAAGCTTATCAGCCCAGCTCTAATATCAAGTTACTGTACTTTCATTTAGATGGTTTCATAATTGCAGCAGTCAATAATTCACCTTTATTTTGTTGTCAATTAATTTACATTAAGTGTAGGCTGGTTTAATGTACACTGTAAACATTCTGGGATCCACACAATCCCTTAATGTTATCCCAACACAAATCGATTAAGTTATCTTAATTGTTTTTGCAAATTGAAGTGGATTGAACATAAAAAGATTAAGTTACACCAAAAAAAAAAAATGTTTCTTGTTCAAACTACTTATTTAAAATGAGTTAAAACAACACAATTCTTAAGATTTTGTTGGGGTAACTTAATTATTTTATGTTCAAAAAATAATAAGTTAACTTAATTTGATTCTGTTGTCCCAAAACAAAATGATTGTGTCAAACCCAGCATGTTTTACAGTCAACACACATTTTTGCTGCTTGTTTAAACTACTCGTTTACAATGAGTTGAATCAACACAATTCTTGAGGGTTTTTGTGAGATAACTTAATTGTTTAATGTTCAATCAACTTAAGTTTGTAGAAAACAATTTGTTGAGACAACATGAAGGAAGTATGTGGAACCCTGCATTTTTTTACAGTGTATAATCATTTTACCATCGATATCGCAATGTGTGTGTCCAATTAGTCACATTGCAAGACATGCAATGTTGAGTTGGGATTAAAGTTGATCAGCACAACAATTGATAATACATGAGATTTGTGGAATCATAGCAAAGTATAACCATAACGGAGTAAAACTTTATTATTTGTATGTGTTTTAAAGGCATTTTAAGTGAGTTTAAGCATTTGGGCACCAAAGAAAGTACATTTGTAACTTAAGTGAAGAATAATTTTACTGAATTACTACAATGAAGACTAGACAGGGTTGTTTCACATTTCATGATTCAATTTCTGTACCTGGAAAACTGTTTAAAAGTGTATAAAAGTCTTGTTTTTTGTTGCCCTGTTATAATAATATTATTGGATTGTGTACATGATTCATATACTTACAAGAATCACCTCAATCATTGTAAATGAATGATTTCTTTCCAAATAGAGCTATTTAAGCCATCTGGTGAAATTGTATTCATATCGAAATAAATATCATAAATAAACAAAATATTGCAGACATGTCCCAATTATTTCAATATCTTGCAGCTCTACTGCATTCATTTCAATTTAAATAAAAAAAAAGTTTTTAAAACAGACCTGTGATTTCTGGATCACAACCCACTAACTGAGACCCACATTTTTAAAAAATTATACATGAAAAATTTATGTTTTAGAAGTGCATACAAAAAAAAATAAATAAATAAACATGCTACATTTTAAGCAATAAGTGAATCTACAAACAAATATCAATTACTTTGCAAGAAATAAAAACTAAACACAATGTTGCATCTCATTATACAACACATGTAAAAATCCATTTGCCACATGTACAAATCTCTATAATTAAACATAATACATATAGTATGCTCAGTTATGAGAGGTTAAGTAGAAGAGACAAAAGCAGCTGACCTCCTCTGTGATTTCAATGATTTCTCCAACCTTCAGTTCCAGCTCGTCTTCATTCTGAGGCACATACTCGAATAGGACTTTGCACTGACGCTTCTTGAGCTCTGTAATGAAAGCAAAACAAGTCATTCTGGATTTGGCCTGACATGTTCAGCCTACAATGCCAGTGTGCCAGGGAAACGCTTCCCCTCTGCTGCCTGTAGAGGGCTCGATGAGAGTCAACTATCACAATCAGGAAGAGTTTCTTTTATTAACTGTGCATTCACACAACATATACAAACACCACACCCTGTCCTTGAGATGATTCATGCGCCCTTTGAAGAGAAAAGAGGAGGATAGTTTGCTTTGTTTGCTCTAAAACTGGTGTTCCATATTGTGTGTCACATTAAACTGTCAAAAACTAAACCTGAGAAACGATTATCTTTGTGTTGGAGCTGAAGGTTGGCTGGGATATAAGTATAATTATTCAACTAGCACGCACAAAATGGGTGGAAAAATTAGGATATAATTAAGGAAATTATATAAATAAAATAATAACAATATTTTAATTCTGCAAGAAATTATTTTCAAAAGGAACTGAAATTTTAATAAATATAAAAATATTTATAACTTTTCTGTAAATAATGATAATAATAATAATAATAATAATAATAATAATAATAATTTTTCTGGACACTCAAAGTGCTTTACACATTTTTGGGGGAAATCTCCTCATCCACCACCAGTGTGCAGTATCCACCTATGATGCGACGACAGACATATTGTGCCAGACTGCACAACTCACACCAGCTGTGATGAAGCCAATTATGATACGGGAATGGTTAGGAGGCCATGATGGATAAAGGCCAGTGCGTAAATTTGACCAGGATGCCGTTGTTAAACCCCTACTCTTTTTCAAAGGACATTCTGGGATTTTTTAAAGACCTCGGTCAGGACCTCGGTTTAACGTCTCATCTGAAAGACTGCTCACTGAGCAGTATAGATAATTTAGTTTATTTTAATAACAAAATTAAACCACATTTTCAATTTTTGATAGCAAGCAATTTTTCTCAAGCACCAAATCTGTATAGTGTTAATTTCTGAAAGAATAAGGTAGAAAAAATAAGCAAAAAAATGATACATAATATAAATAACATATTTAATTATACATTTAAAGGAATAAACATAATTGTTCTTCTATGTTTTCATTTCAACAGGAATGGCATTAGCTATGTTGTTGATGTTTCCATCCAAAAATGTAAATGAACTTTGTGCAAAACTGGAATAAAATGTTCAAATGAAGCGGTAAAATCAATATAGCATATGTTGCCGGCCGGAAGTGCGATATGCAAATCAATATAGCAGCATTTTGTACGAGACTGTATAACAATAATTCAGATTTTTACAGTATTGTGAAGGTTGGGTTTAGGGTTAGTGAAGGGGTAGACGTTAAAACATACAATTTATTGGGTAATAGGTAATATGTTAATAGATAACATAAATAATACTCTGACCAACTGTTTATACGTTACTGTGAAAGTTGGGTTTAGGGTTGGGGTAGACGTAAAAAAAATACAATTAATGGGACATTTAATGAATAATATAAATCATTTACATTAACTTCTGGCAGCAACTATATTTAACCTAGCAACAACTGAATAAAGCAGTGTTTTCATCCAACAAATCAAAGAGAACAAAATTGTCATTTCCTGATTATATTGTGGCAAATATTAACAGTAAAAATGGAATTTGTTGCAGTAAAAGAAGCTGTGTGAATCTTTTCTTTATTTAAAAAATGACCTGCACCTCAGAAGACGATGTCGACATGAAATGAATGAATGGTGGTGTTTGAAGTTGTGAGACAGTTCTGGAGGTCACTAATAATATAATAATGCTAACACTGAAATGGTTAATGCATTTTAGAATGACCAAGACAACATTTCAGATGTTTTACAAACTGGTCATTCTGCTGGTTTGTCCATTTTCATCATCAAATGATCTCTTATTACAAAATCACACTACTTTTTTAATGTGCATAATGGAATTTGTTAGGTAAAAGTGTTCCCATCGTAGTTTTTGTGCATGTTTTTTTCACCGAATGAAACGTATATCCTACTTAGTAATGCACTTTTTTTTTTTTAAAGATTTTTTATGTGCATTTTTAAAATTTATGCGCATCTTGTTGTTTCCATCAACCATTTTATGCACATATCCATAATGAGCATAAAATTAGGTGGATGGAAACATGGCTGAGTTTAAGAAAGCAAATACAAAATCATTTTTCATAGGTTTGCTAAAATAGTTTTAAAAACTAAATAAATGAAAGCCATCATAAATAAATGACTAAAGACTGGCATGATGGCTTTATTGAACAAAATTGCATAACAGAGTTATATAAAGTAAATATATAAAATTATAATAATACGTTATCTTAATCTAATTGCATTGAATGTTTCAATTTACCACTTGTTTGTTAGTGAGCTCTCCATGGTTAGACCTAAAAAAAAGCTAGACTCTAATTTTCTGAAGGCTAAAATATGATAAACTGATGTAAAGAGGCAATAAGACTACATTCCACATATCAGTATTTTAGATGGTTTGTTGAATAAAAACCCTGAATGCAGCATAGCATCACAACCACTGTTCCTTGACAATGTTCCTGTGCAGCTAGAGAGGATCAACTGGACTTCCCTGAAAATCTCAGACAGCCGTTCACTCAGACTGAGAAAGAGGAAATGAAAACACGCTTTATGAGTCAACAGATGGGCTACTGCTGCCCACTACTGGACAAAGATGACTCTCTTTCTGTGCCAAAATGTAACTTAAGACAGAAGGTGCAGACTTTTTTCCTATATCTGAGCAGAGCTTTGTTTAAAAATTTTTTTTAGAATTCTGTGGATTTATGCAGAATGATTTTGAGTGTATATTAACTGAATATACTTAAAACATGAAATAAAACAATAATATATTTTTTACTTTTATTTAAGGTTTACAATGCAAAATGAATTGTTTGGTAAGCAAAGTAAGTCTCTCATTTAATATATCAACACATTATATTAACAGATTTATATAAGTAAATAAATAGACTCCGTGATGGGCTAAAAAAATAAAACGCAGACTGGTGTGTGCGTCACATTTTTTAATAGGATGCCTTGATATGTACATTTTAAAGTACATTGTAGATCACGTAACATTCATATTGTATTGCAAAATACTTATGGTGCTACTGAAGTGGGATACGGGTAAGGTTAGGCACAGGTTTGGTGATATATGTAGGTTAGGGTGTAAGGGAAGGGTTAACAGTGTAATTATATTACTTTCAGGTATTTTTAAAATAGAAGTACAACGTAAAAACATGTACAAAATAGGCTCTCTGCACCAAACCATTAATTTTAATATAGGTACATAGTTAAGACAACATAATATAAAATGATACCAATATTTTTTATATCCTATACAAGGGTAAAGGATATAAAAATGTAATAAACAAATTAATGATTAATTCAGCTATATAAAAATATATTTATATTAAAGATTTGAACCATGAAGCTAGTATCCGCCTCACTGAATCAGCTCAACTGATTTGATTGACCACATGGCCTTTATCCAAACACAAGTCAGTCAATCTGAGGTCAGCACACTCAAAACATGCAAATATTTTTTACAAGTTGAGACTATTCTGATTTAATCTCCTGTTTAAGACTCTAGAGCTATTATAAGCAGGGATGCTAACAACTGATCAGTGATCGATTTATTGTCAAAATTAATTTTTCATCAATAGCCCTTATTGATGGACGTTTAGTTTTGAGGCACATACAGCTAAAGTGCATAACATTCATTTACCTATTGTATACCTAAATGTAGTATATCTTCAGGTGGTATGGGAATTGTATGTGTGTCATTCTGAACAAAATCTTTTTAACATAAAGAGGATAAAACAGTAAAACTGTAATGAAAAAGAAACTCACTCTTTTTTGAGGCACGCGGTTGAGAATGGGGCTGTAAGCCGATTCCTCCAGCAGGGATGCCGTATGTACTGATCCTCTGCACCAGGCTTGCTACATTCCCTGATGCTCGCCGCTGTATCGTACTCTCCTCTTTCACCTCCTTCGCTTCTTTAGGCTCCTTTGACTCCTCTTTGGACTTCGGCTCATCTTTTCTCACCTCCTTGATTATAAAAAAAAACAAAAGAAATGTCATATATTAATCTTTGTTGATACTATGTGAGTCAGAGAAGTAAAGTTTTTTTTTTTAACGCATTAAAATGACAAAAGTATAAGTAGTTTTGCAAATCTTAGTACAAACATATTTGGAAAATAAATGCTCCAATTGAGCCCAAAATGCGAATTTATCACATAGGTAAATCTTTATACTTGACCCACCCGTCTGCGAGAAGCGTTTAATCATTCAAAATACAAAAAACTTGCGTGTGATCATCACTCAAAAGACATTGTTATATATATTGATCATATCTTAAATGACATTCGAACATTATTTCATCCATATTGCTGTTATTTCCACATCAATGTTGAAATATATGTATATAAATACACATTTTGTAAATTTCTAAAATGGGATGGCTCATCTTCAATGTAGTTACTTTACACCACAGTCAGAAAACATATGCAAACATGAATATCCATCTATGCTCTAGTGTTGGGGGCATATGTAGATATAGTACAATACTGTGATTTTTCAGCAGAAATACATTATTGATACACAGATGCCAGAATCAACATTTGACCAATATTTTGTTATACTATTTATATAAGAAAGGCATAAATGGCAACTGAAGAATTATGCATGCGTAATGATGATGCATATAGATGCACTCCAACTCAACCTGAGCGCAGGTGATTACATGTTTACTGCAGCTGTTTGTAACACATGCATCCATACACAAAACATTAGAGGGGTGGTTTGATTCATTTCTGACAAAAGAGTCGGTAGTTCTGGTTCACTTCTCTGTTGAAGATCAAGAAATATTATTTAAGAAATATAATGAATTTAATTATTTATTCACATATCATAATTTTTAAGGCAACTTTAATTATTATTATTACATCAGTGCAAATCAACTGATTAATAATGTAGGTTTCTTTTTAAAAACTTTATATATTAAATCAAATTTATTTTTAAAATGGCATTTTAATTTAAAGCTATTATCAACGTTAATTGAAAATGTTAATATATAACATGATAATAATAGAAAAAATATATTGGCAAAAAAAAAAAAAAAAATCATATTAATTTGAAAATGCTAGTAGTAGTATTTTTCATTTTTCTTTAATTTTATGACATCAAAAGACATCCTGAGACTGAGAGTGGCTTAACTGCATCAGATCTGCATGTTAGTTTACACTTTACAGCGGATTAGTCCAGTTTGAATTTGCAGTCTCTAACTCATAATAAAACCGGCTCCAGTGTCCTGATTGACACTGATTGAAGCAGCTTTCAGGTCCAAACGCTCTATCAAACTGTATGGAGAGACTCAACAAATGGTATAATAACTAAATAAATAAATCGCTGGTTATCTGGTTCAAGCATCGCCTCGGTCACTTGTCATTTCTGTGTGGAGTTTGCATGTTCCCATCGTGTTGTGTGGGTTTCCTCCAGGTGCTCCGGTTTCCCCCACAGTCCAAAGACATGCACTATAGGTGAATTGGGTAGGCTAAATTGTCCATAGTGTATGTGTGTGAATGAGTCTTTATGGATGTTTCCCAGTGATGGGTTGCAGCTGCATAAAACATATGCTGTATAAGTTGGCAGCTCATTTTGCTGTGGCGACCCCAGAATAATAGACTATGCCAAAAAGAAAATGAATGAATGAATGACATATAATACAACTAAAAAAGTAATCAGAACATTGAAGATAATTTGAACTCAAATGGATATGTCTGAGGCCCCGTTTACACTCAAATGTAAACTCAAATAAGTTTTGCTACGGTTACGCCAACCGTCCACACTACGCCGGAGTTCTCGAGCGCCGAAAACGGAGCGTTTCGAAAACGCTGGAGAGGCCGTTTTCATTCTGAAATGCTGCTGCTCCGTATCAGTGTGGATGATGGAAAACGGAGACATCTGAAAACGGTATCTGATTGGGGCTTTTCCTGAATATTAAGTAGCCTAACACACACAGTTCAGTCCTGCATCCTCTCCTTGTAAGTTCAGACTTCGCAAGTTTGATCAAGGCTGCAGTCTCTTCTTCTCAGTTTGATATAGAAAACAAACTATACCGAGGACACGGGTAAATCTTCAAAGGGAACAGTGTACTTTATAACTTCATTCACATCACCCTACGTTGTTTCACTTTTTCAACAATAAAATGTGAACATGATTTAAGGAACTGCCTATTTTCATTTTAATATTAGCAACTTAACAGATAGCAGAAATGTTGAAGCGTCGTGCTGTATATATGAGCGTCATCTTCACTGTGTGGATATTTATAACAAAACGGAGCCTATAACAACTGCCTCCTTTCAATTTCAGTGAAAATACGAAACATATACCCTCTCTTTTGCTGAATATCAGTTTTAATAATCGATTATGGCCATTACTATAACATACAATAAGTTTATACATTATAGAAAAAAAAGGCAAGCGATCAGTCAAAATACAGAATAGGCTACGTGGTTACATTAATCATTAACTTATCTTTGCGCTCAGCCTAAACACGTTACCTGAGAACAAGTAATAGATTCCAATGACCAAAGTCTGGGAATATGTCGTTAGATAAAGACAACAAGATGAATGAAATATCCCGTTTAATAAATATGGTGAGATTAGATCCAGCGGGAGATGCTTGATGAGAAGTCCGACTAGCACAACTCTCATCTGGGTTGATGGGCTGCAGCGCTTGCCCGAGAGTGTGCGTGTGTGGTCACGTGATGTGCGTTTTCAGCGTTTTGGTGTGGACGGAGAGCTGTTCAGAAACGCTGGGTAAAACGCGAGTGTGGACGCAGATAGTTTCCATTCTAAAACGCACTAGTGTAAACGGGGCCTGAGAGAATTTCACTAAGTAAAGCGGCCTTTGTAAGTGTTCATTTTACAATGCATCAATACAATGCTACTTCAACATAATTCACACCCACATTATCCAGAACTTCACACTCCCAAACTTCAAACTCCCAGTTAACACCTACATTCACTGTTTCCAAAGGCATGTAGATTCAGCAACACCACAGCCTTCCTCACAGACACATTCAGAAAAAAAGTGAAAAGCGAGAGAGAGAGAAAGAGAGAGAGAGAGAGAGAGAGAGAGAGAGAGAGAAAACAGAAACAAATGAGAAATCAGATCTCAAGTGACTACAGACACACAAAGAAACATGTCTTCAACCCATCCCATTAAAACTTGCTCTGTGCTTCTCTCTCTCAAAGGCTAAATACACATTTATGGATGTACGGGTGATTAGTGGTCCTAAGTATAACACTTGTATACTATTAATGACCATAAAGATTGCTGAGTTGCTATTTCAGCAATAAAGTAACAATGCTTTTTAAATTTAACTCTTACAAATTATGAATAATTTCCTGTGAACCACTTCAAAAAAGTGAAAATATTTAGTATTTTTTGGAATTTCGTTGGAGAACTTAAATAATACAGTATTCAGAATTACAATGACATTATTAAAATTACTTTTTACTATTTTAAAGAACTATTTTTAACAGCATCTGCATTTTATCAACTAGGAAAACTCAACTACAACACGGAAATACATATTAACATGGAGATATATATACCCATTAACAATGGAAATACATAGTACTAACTAAAAACATCTTTTTGAGGGTATACCCTGTTGTTTTTGGATTAATTCTTGTGTTATATTATGCCATAGAGGTATTTAGTACAATGACAATCATTGAGTAATATTTCAAATTACTACAGTATTGCCATAATCCTGCCCTTTTTACCCTGGTTTAGATAGGTACAGAGAGAAAGGCATGTGGAGCAGTGCAGAGTTTCCTGGAGAATGGTTAATGCCACAGGCTGCATCCGCTCCAAACTTCCTGTCTGAGATGCTGACAAAGAAATTCCTTTTTCTTCCTCCCCGCTCCACAACAACTAAATTGAGGTCAGATTCTCAACCTGCTAAAGCTCATAATATTCTTATAATGAGTTTTAAAACAATGCTACCACAACAAACATCATTTCACTCATATTAAGGTTTCTTTCAATGGGATTTGTGACACGCATCTATACAGTGGAGTGTCAAAATTAATTGTTTCTTCGGTGCGCTGTGATGTAGATGTGGACAATTCTGTATCGGTTCAGTAATAGATTACAACCGATTATTACGCACTGACGTCATATATCTCATATGCGCTATATTGCGGTAGCTTACGATGGCGAGGGAGGTGAGTGCAAGTAATTAAAACGTTCCAACTACTTAATGCAGAAGCTCTGCACAATTCACTGTGCGCGTGTGTTTGCTAGATAATCTTTCATTGACACTGAAGTTACAGAAGAAGCCCTTCACTGCTGGAGAAAATGAAAAGTAAACTCCATTTCTACTTCTCTCTCTCTCACTGTGGACATCTGACCTGTTGGCGTAAGGTAATTTCCTCTCCTCTCAGCAGTTACAGCGATACCTGTGGATCCAGACACAAGCGCGTTTCTGCAGAGCGAGTTTTCTTCTCCATGTCTATCATGGATCAGTGCTTCCGTTTATAAGTGTTACCCATTGGTGAACAGCACCAGCCCTTTCTGTTGAGCGCGTGACCAATCATAGGGGAGTAAGAACTCGCTCGACAAGGCTCGGAAAGCGAGTGGGATGTTTACATTTGTTTATTTGCTATAACTGCTCATGTCATGCACTTTAAAGGTACGGTTCATATCTGAATGTTGGTATAAAAGGACAAAACTGTATTAGAGATAATATATAAATGTAAATATATTTATAAATTTTAATACAAGAATTGTTGTGCTGTGAAGTTAAAATTTTAATTATGTATGGAAAGAATAGTCAATGCACCAAGATGCACTGAGATATTAAATTGAATCGAAGGCATGAATCATAACCGAACCGTGAGACTAGTGTAGGTTCACACTTCTACTATACAGCACATGATATGTTCAACGCAATCTCATGGCAATACGTAACTTTTTGATTTAGTGGCTAATTTGTATGAATTTGTAAGATCTCATTCATACAATTTAGTATGATTTGCTCATTCCCTCAATGACGGTAGGGTTTAGGGGCAGGATTGGCTTCCACATCTCCTTTTGAACGAATTGGAATGAACGAATGTATGAATTTGTATGAATTGGCCAATTAACTGACAAAACGTAAAATAGTTGCGCTTCTTCGTCAGATCAGGCTGGATATGTTATATCAAAGACTATAGAATACACTGGACATGTCACTTGTATAGTTTTGAATAGAGAAAAGTGTAATGGTCGATTTGGCAAATGAAGCCCCTCCTACTAGTACAGAAGCCAATCATCAATCAGTATAGACTGACGATTCTCTGGGGGAAGGGGCTCAAACCAGACATATGTTTTTCTGCAGAGGTTATTAATTCTCTAGGTTCAGCAAACGCACATGATACAATGTATCAGAACACTATCATCTTTTAGCTTGAAGAAAGATGTTTTTTTGAGTTTTAAGAGAGTTCTACTTTGATCACTGTGATTATTGACTGCACTTACAAATATATTTTTATTTTTATTTATACTATTTACACATTTTTTATGTAATTGCCTCTCAGTTCAATTTCTAGGAAAACATTTTGCAGGTTCGATGTTTATTACTGCAGACAGTTTATTAAGATATACATTTTATTTCAAAGTTTAAGTTGATTCTAAAATGCGCCTACATTTTGTGATAAAAAAGAGACAAATTTTCAACATGTATTTTATCATTAAAGATTTCTTTAAAATCTCGTCTCATCTTGTTCTCGTGAACACAGTCTTGTATCTCGTGCCATACGTATCTTATCACACCCCTAGAATTTAAGACATGTTCTGCAAGTTAAAAATGTTTCCAATGTTACTGGTTAAAACCTAAAGTGGCAATGAGGTCTTAAAATGTATGGAAAGAGTATTAAAATGTCTTGAGAGATATTGAATTTAACTCCATGAATCCTGTACATACCATGAAAAATATGTTTTTTTATGTGGTAGCATTTGTTAATGACCAATTAAAGAACATTTCACTCGTACCAGAACATCTAAATCATGTTGATTTTTTTAAAAACGTGATCAAATTGCTACCATCAAAATACTGACTAATAGAATGCAAGTGAAGGCTTCTAGTAGTTTTTGAGGTTACAAAAATGTGTGCAAAAAACTGACATGAAAACTGTGCTAGTTGCGTTTTGTATGAAATAAACCGAGATCCTGTGGTCATTAAAAATCCCATGGCACTTCTGTCGGCGCCAAAAGCCAAGTAGTAAGTGCGTCAACACATAGCACCAAGGTGCTCACGGCGACAAGAGTTCGATTCCCAGCAATAAGTTCTTTGCCGATCCTTCCCCTGTCTCTGCTCCCCATACTTTCCTGTCTGTGAAATCTCCACTGTCCTATCCCAATAAAGGTGAAAAAAATCTCATGGCACTTCTCTTAAAGGGTAGGGGTGTAAGGCCATTGTCCTGGCCAAATTCTTTCCATCGGCCCTCAACCATCATGGCCTCCCAATCATGCCCATCCATCGAATTGGCTCAATCACTGTCTCCGCCACCAATAGCTAGTGAGTGATGAGCGAATGTTGTCCTGTAGCTGCCGTTGCATTGTCCAAGTGGATGCTGCACACTTCCATGACAAATATTATCACACCTTCAAATGAGGAAAGTCTATTTTTTTTCTATCCACCTCAAGCTTAATGAACTCTTAGTTCCCTTTTACCAACAAGACTAAAAACCTTTACTGTGTAGTCTCTTGTAGCTCTGTTAGCATTACCCTACAGTTGCACAAACTGAAATTATGAAATGAAAACATGTCCAAAGGAAATTTCAGGCAATTGGAGAAAGCAATTGTTCTGCAAAACTGCAATAGAAACAGTTTTAGCTGCACTGTAAAAAAAAATGTGAGACAAGATTTTTTTGTTGATTTTACTTATTTTTATAAAAAAAATAGACATATAACAATAGAAAATGTGTCTAGCACTTTTATCAATTAAATATAAAACATTCTGGCTATACTTCTGTAAATTAAGAGTTATTTTGTATCTCATTTATTGATCACTCAGGGTCATAAGTTGAACTATTTTTGGTTTACATTTCAATGCATGTTGCCTGCACATTTGTTCAGCACTTTACCCTTGATTCTGAATTATTTTGTTGATTTTTATTTATTTAAATGTATTTTCGGTTCAAAGATGATACTTTACATTAATTTTAGATTTTTGATTTTCTGCAAGTTAATGTTGCACACCAAATGTTCGAAAACATTTATGACAACAGTGTTTATTTCTTATGGGAATGGCATGTATATTTGCAGTATGTCTTGCTGGATGCTAAAATTAAAGCTGAATACTTCAAATTAATTTATTATATATCATTTCAATCAGTATATGTCACTTTTGTGGTTTAAGTTTCACGAAAACCTTTGGCGTTTCATTTGTTGTGCTTCATTGTCTACAGTTATATACATTTCCTATTGATTGTTTATTTAAGACAGCTTTTGGCCCCCTAAATCAATTATTCAGCAAGTTTTTTATTCATTTTATTTCATTTGGACATTTAGTCAGTCATAAGTATTTAAAAGAAAACATTTCTTAGTCTTTAGTCTCGTTGCCATAGTGACATGTTCTGAGAATAGAACGCGTTCTAAAGTGTTCTTGAAGCCTTGCATCACAGAAAATCTCTAGTTGGTTTGTTGTAGTGGAGTCAAATAAGTTGTGTCTTTGGATTTTCAGCGTTTTAATACTTGAAAATGGAAGTTGAAATCTCTTGCCAGATCACCAAGCGCCAGAAAAAAGCGCAGCAGGGCAAAGAAAGGCCTGGGAACGGCACTAATAGTGAGTAATAGTTACATTGTGATATGAATATCCAGTGTTTTCCTGACATACTATTATATTTACTGTTAAAAAACAATGTTTGTACAGTGTAAATGTTTGTACATTATAATAGACAGCTGGTTGAATTCCTGTTTTTGTAAAGAGCTCTGTTAACAAATTCCTGTAAAATCTACTTCAACTTGCTTGCAGCAGTTCGCCAGTAACTTACAGAAAATCAATTACAGCTGTAAACACTGTATTTACAACTACAGCCCTATTTATCTTGCTGTATATGTATTTATAGAACTGTATGTATATCTTCACTGTAATAGAGTAATTTTCACAAAGCAACTTTAAAATACAGTAACATACTGCTTAAATGTCTTACAGTAAAATACAGTTCATATTACAGTTAAATTCTGTTATTTACAAAAATGGTTAAAAGTTACTGTGCTACACAGCCAATGACTAGTAGAAAAAGAATATGCTGAAATAGTGAATGTTACATATTGCGGTCCCTTTATGAATTGGTATTTATTTTCTCAAATATTATTAGGCTATTATTGCATTCAAGTGCATCTTAATGAAATGCTTTGTGTAAATGAATGTTGCATCTCATTTTCAGCTTGTCTGATTCAACTTTAGTCTAAAATCCTTTGATAAATTGAAGTATTTAATTTCTATTTTAAAAAAGTGCACTGAACATGCATTTTTTTAGATTGTTTGGTGCACAGACCAGTTATATTAACGTGAAAATAAAAAATATAATGTTATTAAAATTAATTAAAATAAATGATAATAAAATACAAAAAAATGGGAAATTTCATAGTTAAAGTACGTTTAGTGCAGCAAAAAAATGGTGAATTTGTGGTAACCTTAGTTTAGCTACAATAACTTCTTAATGTTTATGTATTAATATATACATTTTGTGCAACCATTTCTCTTTTAACAGACGAGAAGGACAAGGTGGAGAAGCAAAAAAAGAAAAAGAAGAAGAGCAGGGTTGGCTCTTTTATCAGAGCTGCCCTAAAATGGTTTTGCTTCTCTCCAAGAAATGAGCCGTTTCAACTTTCATCCTCTGATGGTAAATGATGGTTTCTGCATCTAAACATTTTATCTACTGCATCTAAAGACTATAATGTTAGAAATAAACTGTTTTCACACTCTCCTTTATCTGGAGTTTAACCTCTCCTTGAAACTGACTGTGTACTATGTGCAAACTGCAATTGTTTTTTTTTTTAACAGACTACGAGAATGAGGTCTATCAGAAAATGATGGTGAAAGTGGAAGAAGAGAAGGAGATGATGGAGGAGGTGGTGGAGAAGGTGGAGGTGGTGGAGAAGGTGGAGAAAGTGACAAAAGAAGAAGATAAAATTTTGGAGAAAGAGGAGGAGGTGGTGATTGAACTGGAGGAGGTGAAGGAGAAAGAGAAAGATAACACAAATGAAGAGAAGCCAGAGGAGGAAGGGAAGCGAAAGAGAAAAAAGAAAAACATCAGCAGCCGATTGTCAGAGGAGGAGTTTTGGAGGAGGAGGAAAATAGAGGAGGAGAGGGTGGAGGAGAAAGAGGAGGAGGTGGTGATTGAACAGAAGGAGTTGGAGAAAGAGAACATAAATGAAGAGAAGCCAAAGGATGAGGAGAACATGGAAGAGGAGAAAGTGAAAAAGAAAAGGAGGAGGAGGAGGAGGCCAAGAAACTGCAGTGTGGAAGAGGAGGCGGTGAAAGAAAACAAAAGTGAGGAGGTGGAAAAGAATGAAGAGAAAGAGATGAATAACATTGAAATAGAGGAGAACATGGAAGAGGAGAAAGTGAAAAAGAAGAGGAGGAGGAGGAGGAGGCCAAGAAACTGCAGTGTGGAAGAGGAGGTGGCGAAAGAAAATGAAAGTCAGGAGGAGGAAAAGAACGCAGAGGAGAAAGAGATCAATGACATTGAAATAGAGGAGAACATGGAAGAAATGAAAGAGAAAAAGAAAAGGAGGAGAAGGAGGAGGCCAAGAAACTGCAGTGTGGAAGAGGAGGTGGTGAAAGAAAAGGAAAGTGAGGAGGTGGAAAAGAACGCAGAGGAGAAAGAGATGAAAGACATTGAAATAGAGGAGAACATGGAAGAGGAGAAAGTGAAAAAGAAAAGGAGGAGGAGGAGGAGGCCAAGAAACTGCAGTGTGGAAGAGGAGGCGGCAAAAGAAAATGAAAGTGAGGAGGTGGAAAAGAACGCAGAGGAGAAAGAGATGAATGACATTGAAATAGAGGAGAACATGGAAGAGGAAAAAGTGAAAAAGAAAAGGAGGAGGAGGAGAAGGCCAAGAAACTGCAGTGTGGAAGAGGAGGCGGCGAAAGAAAATGAAAGTGAGGAGGTGGAAAAGAACGCAGAGGAGAAAGAGATGAAAGACATTGAAATAGAGGAGAACATGGAAGAAATGAAAGAGAAAAAGAAAAGGAGGAGAAGGAGGAGGCCAAGAAACTGCAGTGTGGAAGAGGAGGCGGTGAAAGAAAACGAAAGTGAGGAGATGGAAAAGAATGGTCGAAGATGGCCGAAGCTGCATTTAGAGAAGGAAAGACAATCATATGTTCATGTTCAATAAAGTTGTGTTGTACAAAAAAAAAAAAAAAAACAGTGTGTTGTGTTTATCTGCTTAATCGTCTGTTTCAAAAGTGTTGAAGTTTGTGTCTGGTGTTGTGTTGATGATTATTCCCATTTCAAAAAAACAATTTAGAGTGTATTTACTATGTATATTATACATGTATATTACATACTAGCATGTATACATACATGCATACATACATACATTTGTTTAACTTGTAACACAGATTTCTTCATGTAAACAACATGCCAACAATAAACCATCAAGATCCAATTTTGACAGCCATATTTATTACGTGTTAATTTTGACATATTGCATGTGGTAATTTTGACAGCACTAATACACACACGCACACACGCACACACACATATATATATATATATATATATATATATATATATGGAAATATTTTTATGAATTTTAATACAAGAATTGTTGTGCTGTGAAGTAAAATTTTTAATTATGTATGGAAAGAATCGTCAATGCACCAAGATGCACTGCGATATTAAATCAAACCGAATCGGTGGCATGATAATCGTAACCGAACCATGAGACCAGTGTAGGTTCACACTTCTGCTATACAGCACCAGATGTTCAACGCAATCTCATGGCAATCCGTAACTTTTTAATTTAGTGGCTAATTCATATGAATTTGTAAGATTTCATTCATACAATTTAGTACAATTTGCTCATTCTCTCAATGACAGTAGGGTTTAGGGGCAGGTTTGGCTTCCACATCTCCTTTTTAAATTCGTACATTTTCATACGAATGAACGGATGTATGAATTTGTACGAATTGGCCAATTAATTAACAAAATGTAAAATAGTTACGCTTCTTCGTCAGATCAGGCCGGATTATGTTATATCTAAGACTATAGAATACACTGGACATGTCACTTGTATAGTTTTCAATGGAGAAATGTGTAACGGTCGATGAAGCCCCGCCTTCTAGTACAGGAGCCAATCATCAATCGTTATAGACTGATGATTCTCTGGGGGAAGGGGCTCAAACGAGACATATGTTTTTCTGCAGACGTTCTTAATCCTCTAGAGCAGGCGTGTCCAAACTACGGCCCGCGGGCCATCTGCGGCTCGCAATCAGTTTTGTGGCGGCCCGCGAGGCTTTTTATAAATATCAATAGAATCTGGCCCGCTATACAAAAATTAACGTAATTCAATAAATAACCACCGGGTGTCGCTATTACATGCATTCAATTAAGCAGCAGTTCTTGTTATGATCTATCTATCTATCTGTCTGTCTGTCTATCTGTCTATCTGTCTATCTATCTATCTATCTATCTATCTATCTATCTATCTATCTATCTACACACAGTTGAAGTCTGAATTATTAGCCCCTCTTTGATTTATTTCTTCTTTTTTAAATATTTCCCAAATGATTTTTAACAGAGCAAGGGCATTTTTACAGTATGTCTGATAATATTTTTTCTTTTGGAGAAAGACTTTTGTTTTTATTCGGCTAGAATAAAAAGCGGTTTAAATTTTTTTATGAACCATTTTAAGGTCAAAATTATTAGCCCCTTAAGTCTTCAGAACAAACCATTGTTATAAAATAACTTGCCCAATTACCTTAACTTGACTAGTTAACTTGATTAACCTAGTTAAGCCTTTAAATGTCACTTTAAGCTGTATAGAAGTGTCTTAAAAATATCTAGTCAAATATTATTTACTCTCATCATGGCAAAGATAAAATAAATCAGTTATTAGAAATGAGTTACTAAAACTATTATGTTTAGAAATGTGTGGAAAAAAATCTTCTCTCCGTTAAACAGAAATTGGGGAAAAAATAAACGGGGGCTAATAATTTAGGGGGGCTAACAATTCTGACTTCAACTGTATTTTTATATATATATATATATATATATATATATATATATATATATGCATGCGTGTCTGTGTGATGTATGTAAAATTTGGCCCGCGACAACGTTTGTTTTTTTGCATCTGGCCCTCGGACCAAAAAGTTTGGACACCCCTGCTCTAGAGTCAACAAACGCACTGGAATCTCAGCGAATACTTGCTTGACACACACACACAAAAAAAATCATCCACATAAAGCCCTCCACTTAAACAATTAATACTATTGTTTTCTGGTTTTGTGATGAAATGAACAATCATGCTCGGGCAAGGTTCTGGGCAACTGTGCCTAGTGTGAGTACACCCTAGCGTAATGTCCTTGTTTTTTCTCCAGGTTGTAATAGAACAGTTCGAACATATTTTTATATTGATAATGTTTTAATGGAAACTAGATCTAATTGAGGTACTTTCTGTCTATAAAAAGATGTGATGATATTTTGGGCTGTTTTATCACTTTTTAAGCTTCAAGGATAAAAAATGCATAATACAATGTATCAGAATACTATCATCTTTTAGCTTGAAGAAAGATGTAAAGATGTTTTTTGAGATTTAAGAGAGTTCTACTTTGATCACTGTGATTATTGACTGCACTTAACAATATATATTTATTTTTATTTATACTATTTTTACATTTTTATGCAATTGCCTCTCAGTTGAATTAATAGGAAAACATTTTGCTGGTTTATATGTTTATTACTACAGACAATTTATTAAAATAGAAATTTTATTTCATAAAGTTCAAGTTGATTCCAAAATGCGCCTACAGTTTGTGATAAAAAATAGACAAATTTTCAATATGTATTTTATCATTGAAGATTTCTTTAAAATCTTGTCTCATCTTGTTCTCGTGAACACAGTCTTGTGTCTCATGCCATACGTTTTTTAATCACACCCCTAGAGTTTAAGACATGTTCTGCAAGTTAAAAATGTTTCCAATGTTAAAAACTGAAGCGGCAATGAGGTCTTAAAATGTATGGAAAGATTATAAAAATGCCTTGAGAGATATTGAATTTAACTCCATGATTCCTGTATATACCATGAAAAATATATGTTTTTTTAAGTGGTAGCGGTTGTAAATGACCAATTAAAGAACATTTCACTCGTACCAGAACATCCAAATCATGTTGATTTTTTAAAAACGGAATCAAATTGCTACCATCAAAATGCTGACTAATAGAATACGAGTGAAGGCTTCTAGTCAGATTTTGAGGTTACAAAAAATGTGCTAGTTGTGTTTTGTATGAAATAAACCGAGATCCTGTGGCCATTCAAAATCCCATGGCACTTCTGTCGATGCCAATAGCCAAGTGGTAAGTGCATCGACACATAGCACCAAGGTGCTCGAGGCGACATGAGTTCGATTCCCAGCTCCAAGTTCTTTGCCGATCCTTCCCTTATTTCTGCTCCCCACACTTTCCTGTCTGTGAAATCTCCACTGTCCTATCCCAATAAAGGTAAAAACCCCTAAAAAATAATTATAAAAATAAAAAATAAAAAAATCTCATGGCACTTCTCTTAAAGGGTAGGGGTGTAACGCCATTGTCCTGGCCAAATTCTTTCCATCGGCCCTCAACCATCATGGCCTCCCAATCATGCCCATCCATCGAATTGGCTCAATCACTGTCTCTCCACGCCACCAATAGCTAGTGAGTGATGAGCGAATGTTGACCTGTAGCTGCCGTCGCATTGTCCAAGTGGATGCTGCACACTTCCATGACAAATATTATCACACCTTTAAATGATGAAAATCTATTTTTTTCTATCCACCTCAAGCTTAATGAACTCTTAGTTCCCTTTTACCAACAAGACTAAAAACCTTTACTGAGTAGTCTCTTGTAGCTCTGTTAGCATTACCCTACAGTTGCACAAACTGAAATTATGAAATGAAAACATGTCCAAAGGAAATGTCTATTTGGCAAAAACTCCTAATCGCATACACTTTAGACTCACAAGAGGTGGTTTTTCAGGCAATTGGAGAAAGCAATTGTTCTGCAAAACTGCAATAGAAACAGTTTTAGCTGCACTGTAAAAAAAAATGTGAGACAAGATTTTTTTGTTGATTTAACTTATTTTCATAAAAAAATAGACATATAACAATAGAAAATGTGTCTAGCACTTTTATCAATTAAATATAAAACATTCTGTCTATACTTCTGTAAATTAAGAGTTATTTTGTATCTCATTTATTGATCACTCAGGGTCATAAGTTGAACTATTTTTGGTTTACATTTCAATGCATGTTGCCTGCACATTTGTTCAGCACTTTACCCTTGATTCTGAATTATTTTGTTGATTTTTATTTATTTAAATGTATTTTCGGTTGAAAGATGATACTTTACATTAATTTTAGATTTTTGATTTTCTGCAAGTTAATGTTGCACACCAAACATGATTTTGTCCTTTAGTGTTCGAAAACATTTATGACAACAGTGTTTATTTTTTATGGGAATGGCATGTATATTTCCAGTATGTCTTGCTGGATGCTAACATTAAAGCTGAATACTTCAAATTAATTTATTATATATAATTTCAATCAGTATATGTCACTTTTGTGGTTTAAGTTTCACAAAAACCTTTGGCGTTTCATTTGTTGTGCTTCATTGTCTACAATTATATACATTTCCTATTGATTGTCTATTTAAGACAGCTTTTGGCCCCCTAAATCAATTATTCAGCAAGTTTTTTATTCATTTTATTTCATTTGGACATTTAGTCAATCATAAGTATTTAAAAGAAAACATTTCTTAGTCTTTAGTCTCGTTGCCATAGTGACATGTTCTGAGAATAGAACGCGTTCTAAAGTGTTCTTGAAGCCTTGCATCACAGAAAATCTCTAGTTGGTTTGTTGTAGTGGAGTCAAATAAGTTGTGTCTTTGGATTTTCAGCGTTTTAATACTTGAAAATGGAAGTTGAAATCTCTTGCCAGATCACCAAGCGCCAGAAAAAAGCGCAGCAGGGCAAAGAAAGGCCTGGGAACGGCACTAATAGTGAGTCATATTTACATTGTGATATGAATATCCAGTGTTTTCCTGACATAATATTATACTTACTGTTAAAAAACAATGTTTGTACAGTGTAAATGTGTGTACATTATAATAGACAGCTGGTTGAATTTCTGTTTTTGTAAAGAGCTCTGTTAACAAATTCCTGTAAAATCTACTTCAACTTGCTTGCAGCAGTTCGCCAGTAACTTACAGAAAATCAATTGCAGCTGTAAACACTGTATTTACAACTACAGCACTATTTATCTAGCTGTATATGTATTTACAGAACTGTATGTATATCTTCACTGTAATAGAGTAA